TATATATATATATAGACATACAAAAAATACATATCAATCTCAATTCTCAATAAAAATCAAACTCCCACACTGCAATGACACTGTTTCATTAAAGATTAATCTTAACGCTTCCTACAATTCATCATCCCCGCACCTCCTCCTGCAATTCATTCAATTTGTTTAACAAGAACCACAGCGAAAGTAACAGAGAAGGAATCAAAGGAAAACTTCATGAAACAGCCTTAATATCATGATGCATAATATCATTGCCCATAAAATTGGATATCTTTGACCTTGTGTTATGAAACTTCTCTCTACAAACCATAGTCGTTTGGAGCCCAAAACTGGACCTCTGCTTTGTTGGCTTTAAGCCCTCCATTGTTGGTCTTTAATAACTCTTGTATACTAAGAATTAGAGAGAGAAAACCGAAGAGAAACAAGAGATAAATAAATAGATAGATAGATGGGTCTTATTTCCATTGTTGATCTTTTATGGGCTCGCCGTGGATTGTGTTGCACAAATTGATTGAATTGTAGGAGGCATGGAGATGATGAATCACAGGAGGCATGGAGATGGAGAATTTTAGTGGCAAAAGGGGGGAGAATAGTAGAGGTTGGGGATTAATCTTTAATGAAACAGTGCCGTTGAATGAAGGGCTCCAATTTTTATTAAGAATAATCTAATGAACATTTTCGCACTATATATATTTATATATATGTTCTATCACCCAATAAGATGAAATTTATATTAAATAAGAATACAAGAGGTACTCCATATCATATCATGAATATGATTCAGAATTCTCCCAACATGCAAAATAATTAAATCACAAACACACAAATCCAACTTGAAAGGCAAATCATAGTTATATGTAAATACTTTCTATCAATGAGAAACTCTAGTAAAGTAAAATTATGCAGTAGTGTATGAATCATTTTCTTTTTACAATTTGCCTATGGACTAAAATCTAGGCATCATTTACAATGAAATCATAATGTTTGTGGGTCTTTCGGGATATGGCGATACCTATAGTTTCGCAGACGTTTTCAGATAACTGAAATTGTTCACCTTTAGAAATTTCAAGTATTCTAATTAATTTCAGAAAATATCTGTAGAGGGCTTGTTGCTACTTCTATTTAATCAGCAAAAAGATATTGAATATTAACTAATTCTCATGCTTATGACTTATCCTGTTTCTATATTGGTCCCAGAATGTTTTTTTTTTCTTTTTACTGATTGGCCCTGGAATTGGTTATGTCGTAATGGCCATGGAGATTGAATCCAATTAAGGGCAAGAAATAGAAGATTCCATGCAATTACCTTCTAGAAATAATTAATCTAAATTACCTTTCACAAAATTAAACTTGCATACATATTACCATCTTACATTAATTTCTGTAGATAGAAACAGGGGAAAATGCTTAGGCATTGATACACCACTGCCATACAATTACATTCCTGCAAGCTGCAACGACACCACTGTTTTCGTTTTTGATTATCTCACAATGAAAAAAGACACATATGCTGATACATGCCATAATTATATATATATAGATGAACATACATGGTGCAGCTAGCATCGATATTATTAATTCAGAATGTTCAATACTGATTAGGCCAGAGGAATGCTCCCATGGCAAAAGCTCTCTTCTCATCAAGGGTGCCACTGTAAGTGAGGCCATATTGTGTGAGGAGCAAGTCCAGCTTCCACTCCTCCATCTTCTCATAGTCTGCCTTGGTGTAACGAGGATAGTGAAGAGGCATCTGGAAACTAACAGTCAACGGATGCATAATATTCTTGGAGTTGGAGGTCCCATTCAACCCTCCATCTTCAATCGTCCCATTGTTGGGGCTCCCCAATACATGACATGCTGACTGAAGAAGCCATCTTAGAGACAGAGCCATGTTTTGATTGGATGGATGGATGCTTCGTCTCCCTCCTACCTAGCTAATTCGGAAGAGAGGAGAGAGAAGTCAACGTCTCTGACTGAAGCACGCAATATTGCTGCTAAATGCAATGTGTATATATACATAGACAGAGAAGGAACCATGAATATAATATGAAAATATTATAATTACAATGTTATATTTGATTGTAAACTTATAATCATATAACATAATATTAAATAAATATGACATGATTTTAAATGAATAAACACATATAATATCGTAAGTGGATTTTTAAATAAAAAAAATTAATTACATAAAAATACATCTTATTGTAAATTTATAATATTAAGTGATATTACAAATATCGCATTTTCGTATAAAATACTGATAGAATCAAGTCATGAGGTGCGCATAACATGCAGCAAGCAATCCCACAGGATGAGTATTAATTGATTGAGGTTTGAAAGTTGATGTTAAAATTTGTCTTTGTCCCATCCCATTGATCGTGAATTGGAAATGGAGTGCTTAGGCAGTAGTAGTGGTTAGCAGTCTTATTCCATCCTCCCCTATTTTTAGCACTAATTATACCCTTAGTTGCGTGTCTTAGGTAGCGCAATACACATAAATTTCAATATTTATATTTCGTTGGACCCATTTATTGATGTTAAATTCAATAATTCTATATGGCTTTCTGCCTAAGTTTTGGTTAATTAATTTTCAATTAATTAATTATTTTGTCATATGTATACAAGTAGCTCAATATTTATTTATAAGTAATCCAGTTGAAACTATGAATGCTGAAATCATAAATACAGAAGTCTGGCAATAAAGCAAGCACGGAACTATACAAAAATCAGGCAATAAAGCAAACAAGGAAACTATAAATGCTGAAATCATTAATACAGAAATCAAGCAAACCAGCAATCAAGTTAAGAGCATCGATCAAGGAGAAACAAATGCAAGGGTCCAGTAACGTTACATTCCATAAGTGACATATCCATCCCATCAATATCAAAGAGCAATATCACTGTCAATTCTTCACAGCCGACGTCTATACATGTGAAGCAGAAACTATTGACATAAATAGTGGACAACATACTTGCATTCTGACTCTACACATTTGAGGAACGCATCTTTGCAACTCTGGCCGCAAGTACTGCATTTGTGATAGCCAAGATTGTCCTTCATGAAAGTGAGAGGGTGTTCATGAATTGCAAGCTTGACAGGTGACCCCAACTTCACACATGGGTACTTCCCGAGAGCACAAAGGGGATGGCAAGAATAATCACAAGTTGCGCAGTAATAAAACCACTTTTTTGGATCTCTTGGTTCTTCACATATGTCACAAAACCATTGATACGAATCATGAACATCATCATAGTAAGTGAGTGCAAGAGGATGTTCGTCATGCTTGTATCCATCATGCTTGTACCAGGCCGTCTCTGGTAGCGCAATACATCGGCTACACAAAACAAATTCACAATTATCTTCTTCACACCTGAACTTTCCATATTTTTCATTACAGATAGTACACTCCCTTCTCAACTTGTGGTCAAAGAAAAGATGGTGCTCGTGTCCATGAGCAAGGTAGTAGTCTGGAATTTCAAAGCATCTTATGCAGATACTTGGTGATCTGTCATCATCACTGACGTAGCAAAACCCACTGCAATAAAACCCACAAAAATAACACCTAAAAATGTGTTCAAAGTTGAGAGTTCGAGTTTTCTCAACGTTCCAGTGTTTCTTCTTTCTACGTAATTCGGTACAACATTCATGAAGGAAGTAATTACATTCAGCACAATGGTAAAATGCAGTTGAGATTGGTCTCCTGCAACCGTCACAATAATATTCACAATTTTTCATCTTGTCACTTAGTAGCAACTTGTGGTCATGGCTGAAGTTTTTAATTACTCCTTCTCCTAAGGTTTCACTGGACTTCTGATTTTCTTCTTCCACCTCAAAAATCTCATAGTCCCAAAGATCTTTGTCTCTTGCACAATTCACATGAACAAAGTAACCACAATCTGAGCAACGGTAGCTCCCATATTCCATATTCACTTCTTTCCGGTAAATTCTGCAGATCCTCTTTCTTACTTCATTTTCTTCGAGGAAATAAATATGGGAAACAGAGTGTTCATGCCTTCTTAACTTGATGGTATGTAGAGGGGAAATACAATCCTTATGCACTACAAGATTACATATGGTGCATATGTAAGGCATGCAATACTCCCCACAAGTACCACATGCATCACAGATGAATGACATTGGCCTTGGTAGGAAAGTGAATGGATGTTCATGAGTCTTTTCTTCAAATAAATGTAAGAAAGTATATTTGATGGGAATGCTGAACTCGCAAGGAGAACAATAATAAAAAAACCCCTTTGGGAGTTTGTTGCATAAATGGCCAGAACAGTCCTTTTCATGTGGATAATTGGCTAGAAGTGCAAGAGAGTGTTTGAAGTGGCTGGGAGGTGGAGGACTGTGCCGAAGAGTAAGAGAGTGTTTGCAGTGGCTAGGTTGATTTATCACAGAAGATAGCTCAGCGCATTTTTTATGAAGGAAAAATAGACAATCAAAACAACAATAAATAGGACCTGATATCGGATCTTCACATGCAAAACAAGACTGATCTGCACTTTCAATGTAATGCTTTTCAATGAAAAAGAGTGGATGCTGATGGCTAAAATGTATAAGTTTAGGGAAATCTCCAATAATCAATTTTGGTAGCAGAGCACACTGTATGTCAAGGTCAAATTCACAAGTAGAACAATGATAAACAAATCCCTCACCTTTCTGCTTTTGACAGGAACTGCACTTAAACGCAACACAAGGAGAGTCGTTTTGCGGCTTATCATAAAGAACGAGTGGGTGATGGGGATGAAAAGGATGATCCCACTCCCTGGGTAGCTCAGCACACGACTTGTGAAGGTAAAATTTGCAGTTGGCACATCTGTAACTTGAATCCTGTATGAGATCCCTGCATCCTGAGCAATAAGGCTCCCTGACTTGGTCGCTCTTATCTTCCAGGAGGAGCAGGGGATGCGGATGACTAAAATGATTAAGCTCCATAGATCTTTCTTTCTGCAAATTAGGAATCTTTCAGTTTGGTTTGGGTGGTGACTGAGGAGCAAGTAAACGGGGGTCAACTTGTCTTGTTTCGATCGACAAAAGCAATTGGAGTTGATTATTGCCACATTCTACAAACTTTGGCCCATTTGAGGTCATGGCTGATGCTGTCTTCTACTCACATTTAAAATTAATAAGGCAAAACATGTAGACCGCCCCTTAACTCATTGACTGGTGGTAAATCACCTCCTCAACTCACTTTACGCATAAACTAACCCCTTAACTCACTGTAGCGGCAAATCAATCCCTCTGTTAAGGCTGACATCATCAATTCGTTAACTTTTAACAGTCCACTCATAAGTCTTTTCTCTGCGTCTAACGTGGCCTTTTTTTTTTTACTGAGATGGATGTTGAGGTGGTGGTGCCACTTGGACAAATGTCCCAAAATCATTAGATCAAACAAATTACTCTTATACTCTTAAATTGTTTAGGGAAATAAAATTTGGGATATGGGAATCTAAGGTTTTATTTCATTTGCTAGCTTCTATCATTTTCCTCCCCTCTTTGTCCTTTCAAAAATTGAACTCTTTATCAGCAAATCTTGCAAGAACAGCCTCCCTCGTCCCTCCTAATCATCATATTGAGACGACGCCATCTACAACTGCAGATCCGCCTACATCACTCAACCTCTCGCTGCCAGGATCCGATTCGAGTGAGGTCTCGGATCACAAACCCACAAATGGGTCCAACCAAGTTTTGAACCTGACCCACGTGACAGTACCTGCTCCGACATCGGCTGTACCTTTGGCAATTTTGCAAGTGGCCATGTGGGTATGTAGAATGGTGAATTGGGGATGGAAAAATAGTTTTTCAGTGCAGAGTGTTTGGCGGTGATGCAAGAGTTGATCAGGAAGGAGGTGAGGAACTACATGGCCGGAATTGAACAGAAAGGTTTTTACATCCAAACACATGCTATCAGGAATGCTATGGTGAAGCAAATTGGAATTAGCAGGATCGAGTGATTTGATAGAGAATCAAGTGATTATGTTGTGTCTCAGATAATGATCAGACTGAGTTCACTCAGGACTGACTAGGAGATAAAGAGAACAAATGCAAAGAGAAACAAAAAGAAACAGAAATGTTAACGAAGAAAATCTTTATTTTCCACCGTTTAACTTCTCTTTTT